ACGTTCAACATGTGTTTCTTATGTAGTCTAACGTTAAGCATATCAGTCAAAATGTGTTTCGGTTCACACATTAAGTCAACCACTGAGTAGCTCAACATTTTCCTTCCAAAGTTTCTTTGCAGATATGGATTAATGATATAAATCATAATCAACTCTTACATAAGACTTTAGTTACACCTGTATTAGTATTTCTGTTCTTTGGCAGTTCTACTTTTACAAGTACAAGATCTGAATACTTCTTCCACTAAAGATCGGTGTCTGACCATTTCTGTGTCAAAGATAAAATAAAATAAAGGTCCAAATATCTGATTAACAATGTCAATGATAGACGCATACGTTAAATTGTATCTGTTTAAACCCAGTTTTAGGCCGACTTGTAGGGAGGCTAGCAGGAAGCCACTAGCTACGTGTCATATTCTCTGACAGGCGACGTTGCATCAACTTGCTACGTTAGCTAATCAGCCGTTTTCTAGATACTTCACTAACCAACACCAGATACTTAAATTTTTTCGAGTATTTTGGTTCTATTAATACATTTGAATGTTGAGATAAATACAACAGTGGGTCAACTTCAGTTTAAATGCACCTCGCGGAAAATAATAGGCAAGTTGCTGTTAGCAATGCTAACGTGGCACCGTTAGCAGCCGGGATCATTTGCTAGCCGAGATGCCGACGGCTAACATAAGACTATTTTTCTTTTCTCGAGATCATATATTTTAACACTTACCCGTTATTTATGTGTAGATTAGTTAACAGAGTGTGTTGGCTCTCTCTGTCATGTAAATTGGTCTCCCGGTCCAGCGAAATGCCAAGTCTTCCTCTCCTTTTTCGTGTTTTGCTACTGAGCCACGACAGTGCAATGGCTTCTCAAGCAACTCCCAAAAAAACTCTGACCGGCCGCTTCCTGTTTATGTTTCACAATCATCTTTCCGGCAGGAGAACTCAAATAAAACGTATTGTTCTTTAACAAATATCCAATCACAAATGTCACTGGATGTATTGTTAATTACATATTTAATCAAGGCGTGGAGGTGGAAGAAGTACTAAGATGATTTACTTAAGTATTGTAGCAAAAGTCCTGCATTCAAAATTGTACTTTAGTAAAAAGGTATTAGCGTCAAAATATACGTCATAATATATCATCAAAAGTAAAAGTACTTGTTATGCAAAAAGGCAAGTTTTTTTAAATTATTTGATTAAAATGTTTGGTGCATTAATGTGGTCATGACTTTCATGTTTTACTTAAGAAAGATGGGGTTTATAGATTAATGTATACGCTACTGTTGAGCTCAATCTATATAAATATATGATTATGTATGTGTCGATTTCTATTTTTGTATTAGCCTAAATATTCAAAGTAACTAATAAATAAATATCTGAAATAAATGTTGTGGCGTAAAATGTATTAAGTAGCATAATTTGAAAGTACTCATGTGAAGTATAAGTACCCACATGTTTTACTTGAGTACAGTAGTCCTACTTGAGTAAATGTGTTCAGTTAATTACACCACTGGTTAAACTATAACGAACCAAAACGAACAACCCTGAAACGATTTATCTCTGCTTGTTAGATAACAGTTTTGCTATATATCATGTACATTCATGAACTAATAAGACATTTGATTTGTGTTGTGCTGGGTAGGAAGTGTGAATTGGTATAAATGAAAACACTTGCTACTGTGAACATGATCACAGTTTAAAGACTTTCTTTAATATTTAGGTCAAAATTACCCTTCTGATTGTGAGATTATTATAGTGCCAACTAGGCACTACTACATCCAAATTACATTGTTACATACTGTAAAAATACTATGAAATACACGCAATAAAAATACTTCACTCTCTCCTCTTGTTTCCAGTACACTGGAAAACCCAGAGCACCAGAGGAAATGCCACGTGTACATACTGCGCATGCCCGATGAGTTTTACGTGTATCCGTCTGGGTGATCCCAACTTCCGGTGAAAGAGAAGTGTCTTACACGATTACTCTTGACAAGGCCTATCGTTACTCACCCGTTAGGTAGTTGGACGGGGTTTTCGATAATAACCATGGCTCTGTGATCATCAACGAGTCAGGTTATTTACTTTTTTTAAGAAATAAGGAAACGTCACTGCTATACTCGCTGCTTTTAGTAAACACCGCATCGTCAGAGCCACAGGTTTGAACGTTAACAGCTAGTTAGTTAGCTAGCTAACACGTAAGCTAGCTATTCGCCAACCCAAGCACCTCTAAATTAAGTCCTGGTGTCTATTTCAAAATGTCAACTGCAGGGTTTAACTCTCAGAATGGGACCGGGACAGGACAGACATACACGAATGGTGAGTAACATTTTTATGAAAGTAAAGACAGGTAAAGGCCAAGTAGCTAACATGAGCTAAGCCGACATACGCTAAAGTAATACGCTAAAATTAGCAGTTCTTGGATTTTGCCTCTATTTGCTAAATGCTAGCTTGCCTAACACCGCTGTAATTAAAGGAAGCGAAGCAATAGTGAGGTTTTAGGTTAATATTGACCTGTGTTACTTTACTGACTTGAGATGGTTGAAATGCTATAAGGTGTGCCAACTATACTTGCCATGCCAATTAACTCAAACGTGTGTTACATTTGGTTTGTTGGAGGACTGACAACACGACGGGTTAACAGGCATCAAAACTTTTAAGACGAGTCTTTGGTCAGTCCCATATTCTCCCAATATAGACAACAGCGGTGATATGATAACACTTGTTCTTATCCTGTCATGCTGCTAAACTGGCCGAAACTTTTCCTGTCAAAGTAACACATAAATAATACTCTTTTAGCAGCTACCTTCTTAGAGTGTTTTCTATACATTTACACTGTCCTTGAATAATCACATCTTCATGTTTATTAGTCCCCCTCTCTTTTTTTGCATTGTTAGTCTTTTGCAGGCTTGGTAGCTTGGACATTTTAGCTTTCTACGTTTCAGTGTACATGTGGCAAATTGGGGATGCTCCAGATTTGTTGCTACAGAGCTTTCTCCAGCATGCTCATACAATGACCAACTTCATTAGAGAATACTTACATATTTGTATCAGTTTCCCAGGCATGTTGTGGAAAAAACAAAACCCACTCAGTGACATCTGACACAAGTTTGGTTGATTGCAACCCTATTGTTGATGGAGGTTTAGGAGCGTTCTTACACAGTGAAGATGCAGCTTGTGTTTAAAGGTCCCATGACATGGCCATTTCTACTGATTATAATTCCATTGTTGAGGTCTATTAGAATAGATTTATATAGTTCAATGTTCCAAAATCACATTGGTTTCTCATACAGCATCTCTGTATAGTATGTCAGGGCTCAACGCTAACTTTTAAAAGTGGTTGCCAGGCAACCAGGCCTCAGCTTTTGGTTGCCAAAACTGAAAATACGGTTGCCATTTTTAGTCACCTTATATTTTAAATAATTAAGATACTATACAGTTATGCATCAACTTAATAATGAAAATGTGACACAAAAGAATGTTCAAATGCTTTACAATAAGTAATTAACACAATTATTTGAAACTAAAGTGGTAGTAAAGTTGTCCACCCTCAAATTGCTGGTATACAAAATACCAGTAGTGCAGCTGTTATCATGTTCTTCACAGATCCCTCACGAATGAATTGAGCAAGTCACTAGTTTCTTAGTCATCTGCTGTCTCCCTTTCAAATGTGGGTTTTCTTGACCTTTGTGCTGATCTCCACCATAGATCCATTGGCCCTTCAGCATTGAAGTCTTGGATTGGCCAGACTAATACATTTCTAATGTTAAATAAATGAAAACCATTCACAGTTAAGAATTAGATATTAATTATTAATGCTGTAAATTACCTTTAATATGTGTAACTATATTTAAAATGGGTTACCTTTTTATAGAAGTGATTATATTTGTATGCCAATATTTTCCTATGGTAAAGTTTCATTTAGCACTTTTATTTTGGTAGTAATAAGATCGGGACTCTTATTTTGAAGGAACTTTTACCGGAAGTGAATGCACAACGGAGCAGAATGTACATCGCCTCCCAAGACGGTTAAGGCCCGTCCACACGGCGGCGTGCGTTGANGCATCGGAAGTGCACTGCACAGAAATATTATGACTGCTGCCTCTGCTGCTCTTATAGATCCACATTCCCCTCGAATGATTTGCCGAATTAGATAGGGAGTCAAATCATTCGAGGGGAATGTGGATCTATAAGAGCAGCAGAGGCAGCAGTCATAATATTTCTGTGCAGTGCACTTCCGATGCACAGCCACGCAGTTCAAATCTAAATATGCTTGGCAAAGAAATATTTATTTTAATTGGAAAATGTATTCTGATTTTGTGCAGGTAATAAAAAAAAGCAATTATTCACCCCACCTGAATGAAAGTTGAATGTGTACTTACCACTGAGGGTACAGGTGAGCGGGGACTGAAACCATGAAGCATATTTTTGCATTCAGGGCTCCACTTAAAAGACAGTGAGGCCAATTTCAAAAAAGTGTTAGAAACAAACACTAGAAAATTGATGCCAGATAAGATCCAAAATATGAGCTGAGAATACTTTGATGTGCACATACTTTCACCAACAATGTACACAGTGTTATGATCATGAGATGAAGACCCAACACAACTGGGAAAGAAACTGCTGAATTTTTTTTTTTTACTGCCATCGAAGACTTTTGTGAAGGAGGAAGTCTTTGGACCTCTTATGCTGCTGATCTCTCATAGATTGGATGAAAAAAGAAAAAAAAGGGACAAGATGTTGGTGAGCCCACTGATAAATCATAGCCAGGCACCAGATTTATGCAATGGGTTAAATAAGATAAATATATATTATTTTTTGTTGGCTTTTGAAATGTTATGGTAATGGACAGCCATCTCAAAGAAAACAGAAAACAGAAGAATCACCAAACAGCAATGACAGACAGCTCCATGTGCAACACTCATGTGGAGCTTCAAGAAACAGCGGACACAACTACACCTCTATGCACAGCTCAGGAAATAAATACACCAACATGAAAATACAATTTAGACAATCATTTTATTTACATAACCTACTCCTCTGTACAAGTGTTGCAGATAATGTGCTTGAGCAGAGTTTTTAAAAACTTATGAGCACTAATTTCTGTCAAACCAGTGGAAAAAAAACCTCACCAACAACAAAAAGTTGCAACGGGAGTGCAATGTTTCCACGGGAAGTTATTACAAATATTACACTGAGTATAACAGACTTAAACAAATGGACATTTGAACATTTACATTTCCAAACAGCAAATTAAGTCAAAAATAGGACCTTTGATCTAAATACAATCACAAACAAAGGGCATGAAAAGGTAGAAAAGGAAATCATGACTGCACCTTCCTCTCTTAACAAAGTCTCTCAGGTCCAACACAACAGCTTCAGTCTCACAAACTCAGGTCAAAGACATCGTAGAAAAATTATTTTAAAATGAAAAAGGTTGGAACCCATTTGTTTTGCTTTCAGTTTGTGCATTCAATGACTTTTGTTCTTATGTTACACAATGAAAAACATCATTTCAATTTCAATACAATGTGAATAATCAAACCAAATGATTTTGAGGTGGAAATTCAAAACCCATGATCAAGCCAAAACCATTTTAAAAAACCTTACTACTAATAAATAAAATTCCCATTAAAAAGGAACTGAATCAGTGAATAAATAAATTCCATATTTTTTTAAAAGATGGCCATGTAAAGTGCAATCTTCAATGTGAGGCAGAGATCAAAAACTGAAAAAGTCATGTTCACGGCCAATGAGATTCTTTACAAACAGCAGGGCATCAGGCACTGCGAGCACTTCACTGTATCTGTGGAGTGACTCTCTTCAATGAACCTTCTCAAACCTTGTCGTTTGTCCGTTAATAAAAACGCAGAGGTCCTATGCCTAAAACTTTTGTAATTACAAGAGCTTCCTTGGGTCAGAGTTGTGCACAAGTGCCACAGGTTCTACTTCTGAAAATGAGTGGTGTTTGGCAGCTGGTTTGGCTTGTCAACAGTGGAGAGGCTGCTCGGCTGTCTAGAGCCTCAGGAAAGAAAGTATGCAGACAAGAGGGACACATGGCTGGGGCCTCACCTGGGGAGGAACACCGGCGTCTGGGACAAATGCTCACGCAGCTCAGGGGACGCAGAGTCTGAGTTCAGGTATCTGCCCACGTAGTCTGACCACCTCTGTGGAGGACAGAGCAGAAGAAAAAAATGTTTAAAAAAGCATGCAGACACACATTTGAACCTCCTACTTAACCAGAATAGTAATTATGGCCTCTAAAATCAGGAATATAAAGGTTAAAAAGTATTAAACAATATTGTTTAGCTGGAAAAATAAATCAAATCAGCCAATTTAAGCTTGTCGCATATATATTAGTCTACGAAATGTCAGGATATATAAACAAAAGCCCATCTCTTGTAGTCGAGGTGACCAACGGAAAGCCAAAAACACAATTATAATATATAAAAAATAATACAAAACACAGTAAAGCTGCACATTCTCACATTTCAGAGTCTGGAACCATTAGTCACTCAAGCTGATCAAGAACATCGTAATTGATACAAATATTTTTAGTCAAACATCAAAAGAGTTGGTAATTATTTTCTGCTCGTCCAGTTGAAGGACGAATTGTTTCTGCAACAATGCCCATTGGTGTTAAATGTGGACCAAAACTATACATAGCAGTCATACTTGTTGCAGGGCTGTACTACAGGACACTTAATACTTGAACTGTACTTCAATGCTCAATCGTCATACCTCTGCCTCCGCTGGCTCATCAGAGTTGTCCTCTTCCGTGTCCAGCAGCTCCACGGCCAGACTGACAGATCCTCGGCTCTTTACAAACATCAACTAAACAGAACCACAATCAGAGGATATCTTGTTTAAGCAAAGTGCTCAGAATAGTTCATACCGATCTGCAATATCCTCATCTCTCGGGGCAAATGGTACCTTGAAGCAGTTTTCATCCGTCATTAGCTGCTCTGCTTTGCGCTGGTAGGAGCCCTCTGCTGTGGCCCTGGACGTCTGCGTGGACAGTGGCCCCCCCGAGGATTTGTTGGCACTTTCGCTCAGGTACAGGTCCGTTACACGTGCACATACATCATCAGTGACGAGGTGCTGGAGCTGTGAAAGCAGGGGGTTCAGTATGCAAGTATCTTCAAATGAAAAACTAGAGCCAGCTCAGTGCAGAAGTTAACACTTAGGTTGTTATAGTCACAGTTAATTCATGTTTTAATATGAACTAACAACATTTTAGTTATAAGTCTGAGTCCGTTTTTTACAGAAACAGAAATAGAATCATCATCATTGAATGTGCTGACCTGCCGGACGATGCTCTGGATGAGTTTGTCCATGGTGAAGGCAATGTAGGCATGGATAGTAAACATTTCCCTCAGGGAGTCCTCGTACTGAATCGGCTCCATGTTCCCATCCAGAAGATTACGCACCATTTCCAGGAACACCGAGTAATAGTCCTCAACATCAACATCCACTGCAGGTAGAAAGTAGTACATGTGTTTACGGTTATATAGCGTGAGATTACAAAGTATAATGCAACCCGTTTCACCTATCAATCAAACTGAGTATGTTTAAACAAAACCTTAACCACTTCTTCTCTTTCTCACTTACGTGGCTCCTTCATCTTCAGTTGGATTGCTGGGTTTTCATTTTTTTCCCTTTTGAAGCCTAACACTTCTCTTTCCCACTCTCGCTCCCGGGCGTCCTCCTCTATCTGTTTCTCAGCCTGCCCGTAGATGCGTAGCAAACGCGTACAGAGGATGTGATGAAGACGAAGGAAGATGTACCAGTAGTTGTTCACGAACAACAGGCTGTAGGCTTCGTCTGTGCCCCGCAGCTTCTGAGCTGCCGTGTTGCTGAAGAGGAGTTTGGACTTTGACGGGCTGCTGCCTGGCAGGCCATTGTGCTTCTTGGGGCCCTCTGAATCCATCTCCATGTCTTCTTCTTCCTCCTCCTCTTCTTCCTCCTCCTCGACATCAGAGAGCTCCCCTCTCCGTGCGAACAGCAGGTCCGGGATGAAGTGGTGGATGATCTGCTTGATCTTGTACTTGTCTTCTTTCTGGATGCCCACCTGTCTTTTGACGTGGTGGATGATGAGGGCAGCAGCGTCCTCCAGGATCTGGCTGTCTTCATAGGTCTGGGTCAGGTGAGGGCCAGTTACTAGCAGCGTGGCAGTTTCCTCTGACGCTCGCTCCTGGCGCTACAGGAAGCAAGACAGAAGATAGATTCTTATAAAGGCAGTAGCATTGTACATGCAGCCACTGTATTAAAAGCACAACTCAAACCAAATATCATAATAAGTGATTATGTCTTCATGTTTACTTACGTCATCATATAGCATTTCAATTTCATTCAGTAAGGTCTTTGAACGTAACACTTTGGTGTCATTCTGCTTGAAGTTGATGCCCTGGTGGTCGAGTGACTTTAGGTAATACTTTTCATTCTGATCCCGCCAGATTTTGTTGAAGCCTCTCTGGGCGTCTCTCCACTCGTCCTCCTTCATTTTTAATCTGAAACAGGGAGAGGAAAAAGGGCGTAAAAAAACCTTAAGTAAATCAAATTCTATAAAACAGGAACAGTATTTTAACATATACAGCACTTTGGTCTTTAAGCTGTTGGATTGTGCTCTAGAAATAAACTTCACTGACTTGCTTACTAAGCTCTGACCTGAAGCAGAAAATAATAAGTAGATCAAATCAGATTATTAACCTTTTCAGCACTATGGGAACGGACACAGCTGGGTTCTTCTTGAGCCCGTCAATGATGTCGTTGGCCTTGTCTCCATATATCCTCTGAATAGCCTTGCGATGGATGACCTCTGAGGATCCACCCAGTGTGTTGTCCATCTTAAAGCGCAGTTGCTCCTCAGCGGACATGCGAGAAATCTTCCGCTGCACCGCCTCCAGGGCTCGTATCGTGGAGAGGTTGGCTTCCAACACCACATCCAGCTATGGGGTGCAGTCACAGTGAAATTATTTACAAATGCATTTATCCATATGTGATTATAACTGGGACCGGGAGGCTGTGGCGCAGTGGACTTGTGCGTTGGTGTTCAGATCAGGGGGTCACAGGTTCAAACCCCACTGCAGTCAGCATGTCGTTGTGTCCCTGGGCAAGACACTTCACCCCAAATTGCTCCTGTGGGGATTTCCCACAGTATTGAGTATGTAAGTCGCTTTGGATAAAAGCGTCAAACAAGTGACATGTAATAACTGGTAGTGTCAGCAGCAAGTTTGTTCTGTGGTCTTTTGACTACTGCGCAAAGGGCATCATGGAGAAAAGGTGCTGAACACATTTTAATAACTACAAGAACTAACAGTATTTATTTCGGAGTATGCATGGTCTGAGTTCTCCTCACCTCAAAGCGCTCATCCTCACATCTGTAAATGTGCTCCTCATATTGAGTCTTCTTGGAGCTCACAAATGTAGAATCTTCAGACCACGATGGAAACGACACCCAAGTGTCATTAAGGACCTGAAAGAGAAAATTCCACGCTCAATTCGATTCTCCGTGTAAGGAAGGCCTTTTATTCCCAAAGATGTGGAATTTAGCAACAAGTATGACTAAAGGCAGGAAAATAAGTGTTTTCAATCCAAGCTGTTAATATATATCCATGCCTTCTTGATGGCACGGTGCTTAAGGAAGCAATTTACAAACCAAATTAACAAATCTAACTGATGCAACTGTGGCATTTTCCTAAAAAAGGATACTTCTAATAACTATGTCAATTCATCTTCTTAAAAAGCTAATTGTAATGCTACTTGATGCCTGGTAAATATACATCTCAAACACAAATATATGTGTATCACGGTATCTAGAGAACATGTGGGCAAGAAAAAGGTTATCATGACAGAAACACCGGAGCAGACTTCTCTCTGGTACTCACCTCTCTACACAGCGGCGTCCTTCCTGTGCACTTGGGCTGCTGGTAGCTCTTGGGCAGGGCTCTGTAGCTGGACCCCAGCCTCTTGCAGGACGCGTAGTCGATCTCCATGGCGATGCCCTCTGTGGCACGCTCCTTAGGTAAACTCTCTGTGTGGCTGGACTCCCCGTGAAACGACTCCCGGTAGCCCAGGAAGTTTTTGAACCATGTAAAAAGCTCCGGGAATTTTCTGTCAATCGAGCAACAATGTTTGTGAAATAAACAATTAGTAGCGAGACTGCGGCCAGGTGGTTGACTGATTATTGGTAGAAGACATTTTTCAGTGATATCGGTATTAAATGAGTTGTATCTTTATTTTGAAACATACATTTAGCACACGTTTTTTTATTCTGCTGATCATTTTCATTGCATTTTACACTAAATTGAAACTGCTGGAAAATAATATCCATCGGGATAAATAAAGTTTTATCCTCTATTAAATCAACACAATATTTTATTAAAAACCAAATGTAAGGACTGTTACATTATGATATAACAGAAGATAAATTACAATATATTTCTCAATAAATACTGACACCAATTTGGGAGTAACACAATTACTGCAATAGGTGTACTTCATATCTCTAGTAGTACTCTCTATTTACAACTCAGGTGTTTTAGTTTGGTTTCATTATTTAGCCACAAGGCACAACAGTACAGTTATAGAGACAGTAAAGCACTGGAGACTGTAGACAGGTGTAACATAGAGCATGTAGGTTTAAACTCACCCAAGAAATGGGATGACCAACTGGACAAGCTCAGCCCGAGAGATCACTTCCTGATTGAAAATGTGAAGACACCGCAGGAAGTTGTCGTACGCCTCAGAGCTCCGCAGAGCTTTCTTAACCTGTTTTGTCAACAAAAAAAAAGCCTTCCATTGAGATGATGTCAACAATCAATGTATAGCAATTCAGTCGTAAGCTTGTAATTGCAGTGGGCTGGTTCTGAATATAACAATACGGACCTTCTCAAAGAACATGGTTTCAGTGCTGGTGCTGTGTTTGCCGGCTTCAGTCAAGCCATGGTCCTTCCCCAAAATCTTGGGCTTTTTCTGCAAGGCAATTTAAGCACCGAGTTGAGAGTAAAACCAATACATCACAATAAATCTTACCTTTTTGAAGCTGTTCAATTTTTGTCAAAACAGGGTTTATTTAACTTTATGGTCATTATGGAGCATGTTCTTTTGTGTAGATGCTGCTGAACTGAGTTTTTGAGGTTTTTCTAGTATTTAGTTTAAACTTATTAAAGGTCCCATGTCATTCTTTTCTGGTTATTACCCGTCCCCTTTTGTGTTATGAAGGTTTTTATGCATGTAAACGGTCTGCAGAGTCAAAACCCTCAAAGTACACCCTGTAGCGAGTAAAACTCAGAAAATACCTCCCCAAAACGCCTCGTTGGAGATACGTCATTGTCCATTTGATTCTTCCGGGTACGCATGATGTCAACCGTACCCGGAACGAAATGGACCAATCCGTGGAGCCGTTAGGTTACGTCCGCGGAGCCGTTACATTAAGCCCCCGCTGATTGGTCCAAATTGACCAATCCACGGACTTCCTCACACACACACTCAGTGCAAGCAGCTCTGCTGATTTCTCCTCCCTGGCTGCAGGCTGATAACAGACAGTTGGGATTGCGGCGAAATTCTCTCAGCAGACCCATTCTCACAGCGTTTATCAACCTTTTTCTTACTCAATATCAAGCCACACTTATTGTTTTTACTTCGGCTGTGACTTTGTGTGTGCTCAGGGTGAGTTTGGCTGTGTTTCGCTAAACAAGGAAACAACACCTCCAAGGAGCTTAGCGCGATTCACAACGTCCCGACCAATCAGAGCACACTGTGCTCACAGGGAGGGTGGGGGCTGGAGCTACTGGAGCTACAACGAGCCGTTAAAGGCAGAGAGTGAAATTCAGTGAATACACGTAGTTTACAGAGATGCTGTATGAAAAACCAATGTGAGTTTGGAAAATTGCACAATATAAATCTATTCTAGTAGACCTCAACAATGGAATTATGATCAGTGGAAATGGCCATGACATGGGACCTTTAACATCAATTGCCTTCTGCAGTGGTGTGTGTACCTTAAACAGGGTCAGTGGTCCCCCTCCAGGAGTTCCTGATGGGCAGGCCGTTTTGGCCAGTCTCTGTTTGCTGCCTCAGTAACGGTCTCTTCACTGTGCGCATGATCATTGCGCACCAGACTCCGCTCTGTTGCGTGCAGCTCTTACACAGCAGCTGACGAAAATTACCACATTATAATGTCACCAAAGAGAAGTCAGTCAAAAAGCACAAGTCTCATTTACTCTGGGTGTTATAACAATTGTTTGAAATGGGTTTCAATTCTGTTGGACTCAGAAACTTTATGGTAAGCTTTATTAAAATGTGGCTTACCACCCCTGCAAAAAAACTAAACTTAATTGTCAAGCGGGATTGAAAACACACTCCAGCTAATTACTTTTTTTAATTTTTATAATTTACATTACAGGGGTGTAACGGTTCACAAACATTTCAGCGTTCGGTACGTACCTCGGTTTTAGGTCATGGTTTGATACGTGTTTTCGATACAGCAGAAAAAAATTATCACAAAACATAAAATATTTGTTGTTTTTTTAAAAATTATTATTAAACTGTAATATTCACTCAAATAATACAAAATATAATAAAAAATAACATTAAGGTTGCGAGCATTTCGATTGAACTGAA